GATTAATGGAGATAATTTGCAAACAGAAAGAAAGAAAGTAACAAAATGGGCAATTATAAAGTAGAAGTAAGCAACATTATCGAAGAAACGTCAATTATGAAGCCATTAAAAAGTTTCTTCATTTTAACATTTTCTTGTTATAAAGTTGTCTATTATTAAGGGGCGACATCCATACTCAAGTTGCCACACAAAACGTCATTTTGACGTTTTGAGTGGGTGGGTGGGTTTTCAAGAGTCAGTTTGACGTTTTACGTGGCATTTTGAATTTTTTTAAATCAGAAAGTATTGAACACATATGCAAAGATGATTTTGGATGTATATGTAGAAGTTAACTGGAAGTATTTGTGTATTTCACTGTACCAAAGGCTTTAAAATAAGTTATCAGTTTTTGCGAAAATACGAAAAATATTTAATACAGATATTAATTTATATCATTATTTAAAACTACATAGGCATTGATTTGAAGCATTATTCACAGGTAACACCTTTGAGGCCTCCCTTTTATAGTTTTAATAACAATATACACTTGACGTTTTCAGCACTGGGTGGGTGGGTCAAAACGAAAACGTCAAAATGACGTTTTGCGTGGCAATGTGAGTATGCATGTCGCCCCTAAAACATTGTGCTCAAGTATAATTGTAAAATTTTATGCACACTGTAAATATAAAATGTTTAATAATATATAGTTACGATAGTAAAGTTTTAATGGTGTAATATATTGTGTTTTATTAATTATTATGCTTTTGGTATTGGTCACTTGGCCTATTACCCGCCTATATTAAAATGGCCCTATATTAAAATGGCCCTATATTAATATGGCCAATTGGAATTTTTAAATATAGCATATAGAATATTATAGGTGTATTTTACTATTTCTGAATTTTCTCAGTTGTATTATTAGTGAGTAATTTTAATAGCTTTTAATTAAATACAGTGAATAAGCTTATAAGCATATTCAATTGCACCAGTCATTTGAATCCTTGCACCTTTGGCATACAACCAGAGGGGAATGCAAGGACAATCGCCTCTTATTCACTGGTTTATCATTTCTTGGCACACAGGGTAGACACATACTTTAAGTGTCCAAGTCAGGAATGAATGAGGTCATGGGGGGGGGCACTTAGTCTTTTATATAAATGTTGAATTAAAGCAGTTGGCTATATAAATGCTGAAATAAAGCAGTCGGCTAGGAAAGGCTTAGTCTTTTATATAAATGCTGAAATAAAGCAGTCGGCTAGGAAAGGCTTTTACAGAACAGTAAAGGAATGGTTTGGGAAATTTCATGTAAAAATTCCAATTGAATACCTGGGGATGATAGGACTGAAGAAATTTACCTTGCCATTTTGTCCTGGCTGCAGGGGACTTCACTGAATTTCACACACCAAATTAAGTGAATGCCCCTGGTATGCCCGAGGTGGGGGTCTCTAATTCTTGTGTCATTTGGACAAGATCATGTATTTAGACTGTTTCCTGTCAACAGTTCAGAATGGAATACTTATTCTCTTGACTTATTCCGAATCTTGTAAGAATTACAAAACTGAAAATTTGTATATGTATATGCAGGCTTCTAGCCAGGAGACACCCTACCATGTCTGTATAAAAATTGATTTTAAACAAACCATTACAAAAATGACATAAAAGTTGCTTTGTATTCTGAAATTCTGGTTTAAGCCTCCTGCTATAGATACAGTATATTGAACTGGAAAACTTTTCATATCTTTAATGTGGAAATGTGTAGTACTTAATCTATTGATAAATCAGAATGTTAACCCCACCTCCCTTACCATCACTCAGGTATACATCCTGTTGTGGTAGAGATTTAGATTGGACACCTGGATAGATAGTAGAAAACACTTAGTCACACTTCTGGATAATGAGGGGGGGGGGGGGCGCAATGAACTCCCTGATGTGAAATTGTAAGAAATTTAAAAATTGACCAGTGATAACTTGACATTATGTATGGGAGTCAAATTTGCTAACATTACCCTCCAATCATTGACTATCCCATTCGGCCTCAAATGATTTGGCCCCTATCTGAAACAGAAGGTGCACTTGCATGTAGATTAAAATATATTGGAATGCAGAAAATATTGTTATACTTTAATCTGAAAACAAAAATTTCCCTGAAACAATTAACATACATTGGGCCATACAGACATGCACATAGACTGTCAGATGTATATATAAAGCAGCATAGTGAGTTGCATTCATGGCCGAAGACATATTAGGTTGATTATTTTACATAATTATTTTTCGTCATTTGCCACGCATGTAATCGGTGAAGGATTCAGGATTATCCTGCATGGAAATAACGTTTTAAACGTGCTACATACAGTAAAACGGTGTTCAATATTCATACTACCTGATGGGCATATGGCCAAACAAACACCTTGTGCTTTTTTGCTCAAATTTATACGCACGCATGATTTTGTATACATAATATAGATTTAAATCTAGCAATTCAAATACAAAACTCATGGGGTCATGCATGACATCTATCTATAATTTATATTTCCTTGAAATGTTAAGTGATTCATTGTTATTGCCGTTGTTGTAACCCAGTAAACAGACACAACGCCGTTTAGACATGTCACATGTCGTTCTTGTTCCTTTTAATATACAACATACGATGGACGATAAAGCTTCGAATTATTTCTCTTTAATTTCCAGTCCGGCTTTGTCCAGTCTTTGAAGTGACTTTACAAGCGCGTGTTGAAACAGGTCATCTGTACAAGAACCCATGATGTTTCGAATCACAGCAACCACTTCGAGCACATTTCGACTCGATCATGTTTACATCGTACATGAAAATTGATACATATGTAATACAAGACCGAAATATGGTTGTATTTTGACGAATATTAACGATATAACGAAATATAAAAACCCAATATGTATAATTCCATTAGGTGGTCTGCACATATTCCCTTGATGGTGGAAAATACATCGAAACAAAAGAAAAATCCAATATTATCTGCTCACCAACACGTCTCCACTCCTCAGTAAAAATTAGTGCATAGTCAGCATTTTAGCTCGCAGCAGAGCACGTTTACTTCCGGAAAACACCAGAATTTGTGGTGTTCCGGTTTGGCTTGTCCCAGGGCTTACGGCAACGCAGGCAGCCGAGAAGCCCTGGGAACGAGGATGATCAAGTATCAACTATCAAGCAAAGCAACATGGCGATCAATATATTAAAGATGCAAATTGGGTAAGTAATTTAAATTGCAAATTTTCTGTGTCTCACCCGTTTGAAATATATAAAAATATAAACGATTTGATCTCTTATTCGTGGTGAATAATATAAATAATAAAGCTTGAAGGAATTTTTGAATAAAATTGTCTAAATTTTTTTAATATAGCATTTGTGAATTGTGCAGCTAGATCTGCTCAAATGTTTGAATTGTAAATCTTTGTCTCACCCACAATAAAATATATATGAAAATATAAACAATTTGATGTTGTGTTCATGATGTCTATATTGTATTTGTATAAAATGTCTGTATTTAATAAATATATAGCCTGTAAACCGCCAGATCTGAATTCAGATCTGGCAGTTAAAAAATGATGAACTTTAAGTTTTAGTATTTTTTTAGATTGTATGGAACATGAGAATGCACCATGAGCTGCCTGTTTTCCGTCAGGGTTGCAGACGAAAGAAGCAAAAAAATATTAATGCCATGGAGTTTTGTTGACACTAACTATGTCTCTTACAGTTACTCATCGCTTCTTACTGATATTTTAAGTGATGTCTATGAATCATGCAAAATTGAAACACATGGCAATTGTAAAAGCATCATACTGTCCTTTGCAACTGCCTCATCTTCATTTGCTCTCAAGGAAGAAATTAAAGGAGATCCAACGCAGGACATTGTTAGCAAAGTAAAGGTATTTGGAATGCGTTACTTTAGTCTTTATACCAAGCATGATGAAGCTTGCTTGACCTGCAAAGTTTTACGAAATGAAGATGAGTGTAACACACCACTTAACGCATTTCAAGTAATGATGGCAGCGGCAGCAAATGAAGTTGGAAAAAATGTTCCCAAGCAAATTGAAAGCCCCAAAAATGGCTTAGATCAGTTGTTCAACTGTATCCTGTCACATCTCTCAAGCTCTGGGTGCATTTTCGCCAAAAATGTTGGTCCTGCAGGTGGTACTTTTGTTGACACACTGACAAAATTGTTATGGCATCTAGATGGCCAATATCAAAAGATCGAGCAAGAAATACCATCAAGTCAGAAAGTGCCAGTAATTTTTAAGAGAAAGTTTAGTGGTTACAACTTGCCTGAAAAGTCAAAGCACCGTAAACGAGTGATACAGAATTTGTCTTGCCAGAAGATGGAGGGGCTATGTATCCGAACAAAGGAGCTGATACAGTGTTTACCATTTCTTGATGATGCTCCTATAAATGAGTTTACGGTACAAATTCAGCAACTTGTTTCCTTGGTCGAAGTCTACTGCACATACCTACGAAGCCAGGCAAAGAGAGTAGCAACATCAGAGAATACTCCCAGAACACCATTAGAACTGAGGACAAATGTGACAGTTCTCAAAATAAACAAGGGTCCTGTCAATAAAGTCCTAGCTGACTTGGATGACAAATTGTCCAACTCTGAGTTCTACATCCCTGTTTCAGTACGAGAGTTTCTGCCACCTGGACGTCCACGACAACAAATATACAACACCATACAGATTTTAAAGGACTGTAGATTGTCATCACGAGTTGTCCATTATGCTTATCATATTGGTGGTCCCAAGGCATCGCTGCATTTTGTGTGGAAGATTGAAGATGGAGATTCTGAAGGAGATCGTCTTAATAAGTGTGTCAATATCATCAGAAAGATTGAAGAAGATGCCCCTATCTATGAAAAGAAGATAATAAAGAGAGAATTTAAGCACACATTTGGTTTTGTGGGCAGTCCTGTGGTGCTTCGGGCTATTTTTCGAGATCTAACCAATGACAACGCTGGTGCTAACTCACTTAACGAAAAAGAAATCGATCTGAGATTTGAACATGCGATGCTTTGTGAAGATCCTAGCATACTTGCAGATTTGCGACACCAATCTCCCAATGTAAAGAAGGATTCCTTCAGTGTCTTTTTCGAGGCTACAGAGAAGTTTTTGAAGAATGATGTTGGTGTTGCTTGTCATGACAGACGGCATGGTGAGCAGCTATATCTTGCCAAGGCAGTGAGCTTTCAAGATCTTCACAGACAAGTGAAAGAGATTGTGCCTCAAGGCACCAAAATTCCTTCAGTCAAATGGTTAGGTATCAATTTCAACCAATCAATCAGCATGCAAATACGGCGAAGTACTATAAAGGATTGATGAACATCAAAATGATGGTCCAGAAGCGACAGGTATTCCAACAATGTTCATGGTAACTTTATTTTAGTATCTCACCGTTTTATAGCTGAACTTTATAGCGGACATTGCACAGGCCATTTATACCCTTAATACCTATCATTCCATTAAAGTGGTACTAATCTCTTAGAGAATTTTTTGTTTAGCATGTAATATATGGGTTATTTGATGAAATGTAAAATATCTTCACTTTTTCACTTTCAAAATTTTTAGATATTTTAATGCAAATTAGTTTTCTTTTGTCTATTAATAGTAATATGCCCCTGATGACATCGTATTAAAAAATTTGAGAGTGAAAAATCTGTCAAGATGAGGTTTTTGTTATAAAGATATATTATTTTCCTTCTTGTGATAACCCAAATATTACATGGACAAAAATTTGTCTCAGGGTTACCACTTCAATTTAATATTATCTCGTTCTAGATTCGAGTAAATCATGTTGACTCACACTATTGTGCAGCTATGTGGAGGTACATGCGAGAGCTTGCCGTTCATCACAGAGAACTGGTTACACTTGTCAGCATGGATGACAAGCATAAGATCAAAGTTGGTGAACCGTCCTATCTGTTAGCTGCTGCAGAACGTGGCAAACAAGTTATTGTGGGAATAAATCAAGTTATGGCTGTGGGTGACCACGATTTCTCAAAGTGCACTCTTGTACCATCGGTGAATCTGATTGTATGTGTTTTCCTTTAATATCTGTTTAAATCATGTTATCTTTGGGGCTCGAATCATCAACTACCCAAGGATATTTTCCCAAGTATATTGTACCTTATTAGCCAAAACTGGTCTTGGGTTACAGTACTACTATGTACAGTACCTAAATGCCATTTTGCCTTCCCACAATATATAAAATTACATATTAAACAGTTGACTTTTCGGCACATTGATATTCCTACTCACATGGAAGACAGCTTTTACAGAGGGGATGTCTATGTTGGCTTCAAGAATGCAGTCACACAACCATCATCTGCCCTTCGCCATGCAACCGAACTTAAAGAAATATTGGAAAGCCGGAATGGTAACTGCATGTTGTCTTGTTACATAGTTTTCACAGAAGCTATTGGCTGATATTTAGTGCAATTATGTTTGCAGCACTACATATAACACACGTGTACTGCATGTCTATATAATAATTCATCTTATAAAGGTACTAAATTTTATAGATTCAAGCCCAGTTCTGTTAACTTATACAGATGGTGGTCCAGACCATCGCTCAAATTACATCTCTGTCAAGTTGTCTCTTATCGCTTTGTTCAGATGGTTGAATCTGGATATGCTTGTCGCTTTACGTACAGCTCCTAGCAACTCATGGGCGAATCCAGTCGAACGTGTCATGAGTATTGTGAACATTGGTTTGCAAGGAGTTGGCTTAATGAGACGGAAGATGTCAGATGATTTTGAAAATGCCATTGGTATGTATTAGTAAATGCAATAACATAAATACTTATAAGTAGTAGGGAAATTAATATGAAAACATGACACTTAGACAAGGCTATCTTATAAAAGTGTTGTGTTAGACAGTTTTTAAGCATGTTACATGCACCATAATTATCAATTTCAGCCAAAGCCAATAGTGTGAAAGAAATGCGCGATGTGATCAACACAGTTGAAAGAAAAAAGGAGCTTTCAGAATCACTACAGTTTCCAGTAGATTTGTTGCGTGGACAAATGTTGCGTCTATCTTTGAAAGATAAGCTATTCAAAGTATTTCAGCCTGCTGCTGAGGATAGCATAGATGTTCTATGGAACAAGTGTGTTGAAATTGAGAAAGATATTCAGGTAAATAGACAGATACATACATACAGTAGGTACATGGATAGCTACCGTACACAGACGGATGGTTATAGATAATACATTTAAATGTGTGAAGGTATAAATACATAAAGTTTAAACGTGTTTTCTTATCTGTTTTAGAGAAACAAAACAACTAAAAAGGACTGTAAAGATTTAGTTAATCTTCAAGAGTTCTTAAGCCACTGTTGCATAGAAAGTCACTACTGTTTCCAAATCAGGAAGTGTGGTGAACCAAATTGTAAGATTTGCGGGTAAGCAGTTTGGGTCTACATACAGGTACATTCTATGGACTTTAACTTTAGTGATCTAATCTTTTTTATTTAAATGCCTTTTGACTTCCTTTGTAGACCATTAAGAGATCCAAGGTCCAAGGAGGTGAAGAACTTGCCATTCCCAGTGGATGCTGGAAACGGTCATTATAAGCCATTCAATGAGGTGTATGGCACAAAAACCAAAGATGTATGTACTGCAAACTTTGTTATATCTATATTGTCAAGTAAACTTTGTCTCTAATAAACGTTTTCTTTTTGACAGTCATCCAAGCCTTTCGAACATTTAAAACATTTTTTTGCTTAGAAAGATTGTTAATCGAATTCTGTTATTATAGAATCGTCCCAGTGCAACATCCAGAACTAGTTCTCAAAGAAAGAAAATGAACTTCTCGCCGTCGGTTCAGCATGCAAAAAACACAAGTATGATGCTGCAGTGTGAAGAATGTGATAAATGGTGTCTGGTATTTGCAAAGAAAAAGCTGACGAAGAGACAGAAGGCAACCCTTCAAGATCTATTTGATAGCATCTCTACAGTTGTGGTTTGATATTTGGTATGAAAGTGTATTCTGTGTAAATATTTGGATTGACTGGTATAAATTAATGAACTATTATACTCTATAAATATTTTTTATAAATTCTATTGTTTTAGATGACATACAGATGCCACATGGTATAGATGTGTACATAAAAGATCATGACTGCTATGACCACGTGGAAAAGTTATACTATTCGTGCGGATTTGAGCCAATTTGCATCCATTGTGGTGAATACGTGCCAAATGAAACCGAGGATGAAAATTGCGACGCATACCCACAATGCAACGAATGTGGGGATAATGTTAAAATCATAAAACGGGCAACTAAGTAATTTGTGCATTTGACAATTTGAAACTCGTTTAATTATTAATAGTTATTAATGTACTGAATGTGGTATCTTTTGTTCAACATTAAATGTTATGGGCCTCCATTATGTAGTTGTAGAGTACTTGATATAGATTGCAGACCTCATTTGGGCGTGGTTACAGTCAATTTATGAAAATAATGAATAATGAATAATGAAAAAATCCCGCACATATTTTTTTTTCCATGTTACGGTAAGCTGATACCTTACTTCCATCGGCCTAATACACGAGTTTGGCAAATTACTATACTATCTATAGTTAATATTGCTGTATCTTCGGCATAGAGTGTACATGAAATGCACTCTGGAATTTTGTATTAATATATTACACTGTATAAAATATTGGATATTTTCAAGGATATTTTTTTTGTATAAACATATTTATTTTTCACTAGCGTTTGCCCAGGAGCATGAAGCTCATCTACGGGGCTCACGCTACACATTTTCACACTGATAAAAAAAAGAAAAATTTATCACACACAGAAAGTTGAACAACTGGTTCCCTTATCAGTCAGATTAACACATATTCGACTATTGAAGGAAACGTTTGGTTTCCTTTATATATTGTTGAACAAACATAAAAAGATTCAGATTATCTAACATATCCAAATTCATAGAACCGTGAAGAAAAATGTTGACTTTTTCTAAATCCGACAAGAGATACCAGTTATTACCAAAAATTTGTGCAGCACTCGAGAGTAAGTTTTATCTAGGAGCAGCATATCAGGGACATTTTAACAAATAGTGAGCAACAGATTCATGATCCTCATTACAAGCACATATTGAAGACATTTTACATTTAACTTTAAACAAGTAATAATTTAAGCCACAACAACCTAAACGCAAGCGAGTATGTAATATCGATGAAAACCTATCAAACGCCTTACTAATATCCAGAAAAACCATTAAACTATTAAAATTAATTGGTTAACAGTAGAATCACCAGGTCGAAATCCCGATTGAAATGGATTTAGGAAGTTTATATCCAATAAAAAATTATAAAGCCTTATAAAGACAATTTTTTCAGAAATCTTTGACAAACAAGCTAGCAACGAAACAGGGCGATAATTTACTTTACTCTGACGATCATCCTTTTTAAATATTGGAATAACATTTGCAAACTTCCACAAGGAAGGATAGACTCCTCGCAAAAGAGATTCATTAATAATACGGCATAAAGGATCAGCTATATATTCAGCACATATTTTAAGTATAAAATTACCGATACCGTCAAAACCACAAGCTTTAGAAAGATCAACATTTCTCAATAAAATATTTATTTCTTGTTCTGAAGTAGAAATATTATATTTAAACATATTTATTCGTTTGCCCCCAGAGCTATTTAAGCTCATCTAGGGGGCTCACACCAATTTACACTTAAATACATATGGTGGTATAAATAATATAGACAGCCTGAGAAGCGATTGGATCAGTCATTACAAACTGCAAAATGCTCGAATCTTTTGATATACGTTTGTACGTGGAAAAAATAGCATTATTTTGATTCAAAGTCAGATTCTCAGATCCAAACAAAAGCATTTTCGTTTTAGAAGAATCGGACATGTGATACCAGCCGCTTCCCAAGATTTCAACCATGGCCGCTAACAAGAAAGTCCTAAGAGCAGCATATCGGGGACAATATAAAAAATAATGAATTACAGATTCACAATTAAACCCACAATTACACGCTGGAGATATCACACAATTAATTTTGAAAAGATAGTAGTTTAAAGCACAACAATTCAAGCGAAGTAGAGCATGAAGAATAGAATTATATCTATCTAGTGCATAATCATAGCATTTCTCATAAGTTGAAATGTCAAAGAAATCCTGCAAATGACTTTTAAAATATCTTAACAATTGAGTATCCCTGAATTTATAGTCTAAACTGTTCCATAAGCCTGTGGTGGCAGGAAAAAAAGATTTTTTAAATCTTTCCGTACGACATTGGAATAAGCTAAAGTTACAGGCAGATCTTAGCAATAACCCTGATCTTTGTTGTGTCGTAGGAGTAAGCAAATCAGATAAAAAAACTTGGCGTCAAATTATTAACTATCTTAAAGAACAAAACAAGTTTGTGAACTGAACGTCTTGTCTTCAGACTTTCCCATGCTAACTCATCGAGCAGTCTTTGGTGCCCAGTACCCTTCATTGCACCACTGACCACTCTAGCAAATTCATATTGTACAGATTCAAGCAAGTCACTAACATTTTCACAACAACCATCCCAAACAACATCTGCATATTCCATAAGAGGTCTAATTAAAGATTTGTAAAGCTTTTCCAAAGTATTTCTATTAATTTTAAATTCCAAACCTTTCAATAAATTTAATCGCTTTGAAGCTTTATCATGAACATTTAAAACATGTGTTCGCCAGGACATGTTAGAAGAAAGAGTGACTCCAAGATGATTATGACTATTGACAATATTTATTTCGTTATTTTCATAATATAAAGCTGGATGTACTGGTTTGTATCTCTTAGTGGAGAAGATCACTGCTTCAGTTTTACTAGATTAATAGTGACGAGCCAATCACGTGTCCATTTACTAATATTTGTTAAGTCACTATTAAGTTTGGCTGAACTTAATTGAGGATCTTCGACAATTTCTAACAAAGAAGTATCGTCCGCATAAAGAAAGCAAGTACTTTGAATATTATCAGTAATATCATTTATATAAACTAGAAATAGCAGTGGCCCAAGTACTGATCCCTGTGGCACCCTGCTTCAACGTCTGTCAAATCAGACATGTTTCCTTCAATAACTACTCGTTGTTTTGTGTTTGTCAAATAGCTTTTATTCCAAGATAGTAATGGATCTCTAATACCTAAACGTTTCAACTTAAAAAGGAGACCTTTATGCCACACTTTGTCAAAAGCTTTACTTATATCCAAGAAAACCATATGCACTTCCTTTCTACGCTCTAAAGCCTCATAAATTGTATGTACCATAAGTATGAGTTGATTCACCGTGGAATCCCCGGGACGAAACCCTGACTGCAAGGGAGTGAAAAAATTTATTTCTAATAAAAAATTATAAAGACGTTTAAATACTATTTTCTCAAGAATTTTGGACAACGATGTTAGTAAAGACACAGGACGATAATTACTTTTCAATTGACGATTATTTTTTTAAAAAATGGGAACAACATTTGCTATTTTCCATACTGTTGGAAAACAGCCATTTACCAAAGAGATGTTAAAAAATCTCGACAGAGATGAAGCAATGCCAATAGCACATATCTTCAACAGGGAATTTCCTATACCATCTACTCCGCAAGCCTTCGATACATCGACACTCATCAATAAATCAAAAACTTCATTTTCACTAGTAGAAACCACTGACAACGTCTTAGCATTTTGCAACTCTATTAAATTTGGTAACGGTGCATCTGCATTTAGCAGCATACTCTGACTACAAAAATAATCATTCAATAAAGTTGCTTTATCCTTTGGGTCAGTAACTAAACAATCACCTTCCAATAAAATTGGTACAGTTGTTTGTATTGTATTCCCATAAAATTGTTTAATTAAGCCCCACCATTTTTTTTATCCCAACAACGGGTCCTGCAATTTATTATTCAAATTGTTATAATAAGACTTTTTACGTCTTCGTATAAGTGATGTAGTGAAATTTCTTTGAAGTCTATAGACTTCCCAATTCTCGGGAACCCTATTTTGACAGAATATTTTTAATAATCTATTTCGCTTCCTTACAGCTCTTCGGATCTCTGAATTCATCCAGGGTTTATCCCGAGGACGAACAACAACAATCCTATTAGGTACATACGTCTCACGAATACGTCGAAAACAGACCAACCATCTATTATATAAAGCATCAGCATCATCAACATCCGAACAAAAATATCATCCCAGTGTGTACAGTTAAGAGCATTAACTAAATTTTCCTCGTTTATTTTTTGTAAGTCCCATACAAAACGTTTATAACATCGAGGTTTAGCTAAAGAAATGTTCATTCTAGCAAATATGAAAGAGTGATCACAATTACTAGGAGGGCTTGCAGTGCCAGAATCAACAAAAAATCCTGGAGAATTTGTAATTATTAAATCCAATAAACTTGCACAATATGCTGTGACCCGAGTTGCCTCATTAATTATTTGATAAAGGTTATTGCATTCCATCCATCTGTATAATGTTATTCCAAAGTCACTACCATCTACATGATTTTCAATATCATAATGAGCGTTAAAATCTCCAAGACGTAAAACATGTGTATTAGGTTTCAAATATATTTGATCTAAACAAGATTGCAAATAATCTAACAACGCAATATTACTAGCTTGGTTAGAATTTGGCGGTCGATAGCAAACACCACATACGAAAAAAAGCCGATTAATCTGCATTTCAACCCAGAGAACTTCTAAGCCATTCTGCTCCAAATCAAACCTGCATTTAGCTACAATAGACAATGATGTAAATAGTGAGACACCCCCAGCCCTCTGACCATCACTCCTATCCAAGCGAAACATTGGACTGAAACCAGGAATATTAAATAAATCACTCGAAATAGAGTTATTTAACCACGTTTCGGAAACTGCAAAAATATCCAATTTGTGTTCGAGAACCAGAGAAACAATTTCTTCGAATTTATCAGAATCATTTAAACTTCTTGCATTAATATGCCC